TGCTGTTATCTGAGTAATTATTTCTGATTTCATTTTTCCCAGATCCTCTTTTGTTGCCAGTTCAGAGAGTCCAGGTGGTTGAGCATCAGATTGTTCCATCTCATTTCCCTTTGGGGTTGCTGTAGGTGATCTGGAACTCTGTTTTTGAGGCTTGCTTACGTGTGTTCTCATTTCCACGGGGCGGTGGGGGGGGGGTTTGCTTCTGGCACCCACAAGGCTCACCTTCCCTAGGGAGCTTCCTTCCGGGTACTAGGACCGGCTCACCTTCTCTGCCCTAGGAGCCTGGGATGGCAGCAGGGGAGCTTCCTTCTGGGTGCTGGGACCGGCTCACCTTCTCTGCCCTAGGAGCCTGGGATGGCAGCAGGGGAGCTTCCTTCTGGGCGCTGGGACCAGCTGAGCTTCTCTGCCCTAGGAGCCTGGGATGGAGGTGGGGACCTTCCTTCCGGGTTCTGGGACCGGCTGAGCTTCTCTGCCCTCTGGGCTGGGAGTGGCAGGACTCAGTACCTTGGTCTGGTGGTCCGGTGTCCTCTGCGTCTTTGTAATGTGGAACCAGGTGGCTGCCTGTCTGCAGTGGGCTGATTTGGCATGTTCTGCATGACTCGCAGGACCCGGAAAGGGAAGGATTTTTCATCGATTCAGGATTTTTAATCGAGGCAGCCAGGACACTGCAATTAAAGACACTCAGGAAAGAGGTCTCCAGAGCTGCTGCAGAAAGTGACAAGAACGTCGGGATCAGTGTGTTGGGAGTGATGGGGAGGTTGGAAGAGAGGGGAGTGGATTCTGAGGGGATTCACGGCACTGTGTCTTTTGCTGCAATAACAATTTTAATGTAAACACCCACTGTGTTTTGATCATGCGTTGTACCTGGGAGCGGTCCCACCCTGCCCTTCCCAAGCCCCATCTCTTCCCTTCCAAGGCGATGACAGCACCGCAGACCCTTTATCCTCCCTAGCCCTGAGCTGTGGGCTCCGCCTTCTCCTTGGGCCTCTCTCCAGGGCCTGCAGATGAAGTTGTCCCTTGTCTGCACGTGAGCGTCCCTCTGAGTGTGTCAGTACCGGACCTGCTCTTCTACAAGGTCAGGTGCAAGAGGAAGGCTCGCTCTCCCCACTTCCTTTCACCCCACTTGTCTCTTTCCACATCCTATCTCCGAAGATGGCCTCATTCTCATTCTGAGCTTCTGGGGGCAGGATGTCAGCAGAGGGATTGGGGGGCAGTTAAGCCTGCATCACCCAGCACTGGGATGTGAACACTGAGCCAAGTGGTGGCTGCGTCAGCGCAGACCAGGATGTTGTGCTGACCCCACCCTCTTCAGGAGTCATGCCGCCCCGGCCCTGGCTTGCTGTCGCCTCTGCACACCCCCTCTCCCACCCACAGTCACCTTCCTACCAAGGGCTGGGTACATCTGAGTAGAGGGGCCGGGTCCACCAAGCCAAAGCCTAATGTTTTATTTCCCCCACTGTCATTCATTCCGGGCTGGGAGCTCAGGAGCATACAGAAGTTTCTCATAGACAGACACGAGGGCCAGTGACACCACAGGAGGACACAGAGAGCTGCCTGGCTGCCTAGGAATGGCAGGAGACCCACTGTGGCGACCGTAAGCCTGGCTACAGGGGAGTCAGATGCCACGTGCTGGGCCGCAGCGCCATCTTGGGTGTGGCGGCCACACATCTGCTCAGTGACCCTGGCTGGATCCCACACTCCATAGGACAAGGCTGCTAAGCTGTCAGCTGAGTGTGATGTGCCAGCCAAGACATCAGGGCCATTTCCTAACCAACACTGGACAAGTGGCAGCTTTTGAGAGAGGCTAGCCTGCAGGAAACCCTGGAGAAGCTGCCAGATCTTCCAGGAGGGGCGGTCTACCTTCCCACAGGGCTGCGTTTCTGCTTCCTAGGCACTACCCTCCCGGTCCTCACCCTTCTTCCACTGACCAGGTACGAGGTCATAGGACACGAGATGCTGATGCTGTTGGCTACAGCTCTGCACGGAGGGGACCTGGGGAGGAGAAGGGACCCGAGTTGGATGGGAGAGCCCAGGCAGGACACAGCCACATGTGGTCCACAGTGACCTGCTCCACTGCTGAGGGCCACACAGATCCACGCCGCACTCAGACCGGAATCCCAGGCAGCTGGCGAAGCCCGTGGAGGAAGTACGGCAGAGCCTGTCTGTTTGGAAAGCCGCAGTCTCCAGCGCTGGGGTGGCCCCGCCATGGTCCTTTTGAAGACTGCCATTCAAAGCATTTGGAGATGAAGTCATGGAATTCTTTCAGTACTGCTTAGATTTCTGGTAACCTGAAACTTTCACACAAGCTGGTCTCTGCCTACAGATTAGAAACACACAAAGCCAAACAGACCGCCTGCCCCTTCCCTTTGACCCAGTGACAGTGTCGCGTTTGCTCGTGAAAGCCCCAGACATGGGCTCCAGGTCTGCCTGGCTGTGTTGTGGAGCTGGCAGAGGAGAGGCAGATGGCAGTGCCCCCTGTGTCATGCGATGTTCGGGGACGGGACCTGACGATCCCCAAGCCACCTGCAGGAGCTGTGTGAACAAGGCTGTGTCCACAGAGCCCCAAGGCCCTGTCGAGCCCTCCAGGCCTGATCGCTTGGTGGGGTGCGTTTCGGTCTGACCAGGCTAGGCGAATCCTTCCCGGGAGCCCTGGCAGGTCCTGCTGTGAAGAGGAGTCCCCTGGCGCTGTGCCCCTGCCGCCTGGACACCACTGTGCCACGCTCAGTCAGCATCACAGCATCCTGTCTCAGAACCCTGTCCCCGGAACACGCCGGGCACCGGCTCCCTCCGGTTCTCAGCTGATGTTCTTCTAGGCTCACGACACTGAATTCCTGGAGGGGGATGCAGGGGTCCATTCCCACCGAATAGACCACATTTCACCTCAGATGGAGGGGAGCTGGAAGCATATACTTCATTTTTCTAATATACATTTTTATTTTTATGAGTCCGTGCTTGCAGTACACACTATCACGCTCCTGGTGGGGAGCAGGCGCGTGCACGTAACACATCATTCTTTTTACGTCCCCGCCCCTTCCCGTGCCCCCCATCCCTTGGTCTCCTTGGAAACATGTTTCAATGGCATTACTTTAGCTCTGCCCCTGTACTGAATTCTACGTGAGCATTAGGACACATTGGCAACGTCAGATGTAATAATTAAGAATCACATTTTTTTAAAAAAGTTAAAATACAGACGGTGTTCGACTTCAGTGCCAGCCACAGCCTAGTATCTTTCAGTGTGTTGCTTAAGGTATCCGTACCTCAGTTTCCTCCCCTGAGAAATGCACTGTCGTCCCAGCTGCTTCTTAGGCTGGGTGGGACGATCGAGTGACCTTGGAGAAGGTAAATGCCCGCCCTGTGGGCCAGGTGACCGATGTAAACCCGCAGCCATCTGTCAGGTCCCTGGGGGGTCAGGGACCCCTCAGTGGGGCTGCACGAAGGGGACAAAAGGACTCTGACTCTCCCCAGCCAGACTAGCCGGCACCAAAACTGCTTCTTGTTCTGTTCTTTTTCGGTTTTGTTTTTAAAACCAAGAAGCCTGCCGCCCCCCCATAAAGTCAGCACACATTTTTCCGGCAGGGGCTTATCTTCCTTGGGCAATTTAGCATCCAGCCAGGCATGTCTGCAGCCCTGCGCCAACTGGGGGCGCCTGCCAGACTGTGCAGGGCTAAGCCGATTACCCCATGCACCGGTCCTCAGAGAGGCGCTGGGGCTGGGGCAGGACCTGCTGATTGAAAGCCTGGCTGTTCTGAACTCTCTGTAACCTGGTAAATTGTAAATGTCCTATTAGGAGGAAATGGAGGCTCTGCTGGACTAGTTATAGATTAGCAAAAGAAAATCTTATTATAAAATTTGTGCAAGGCGATTTCACATTTCCTCCATATGCAGAATAGCATCAGCCAGCCATGATCCGCACAGAAACCAGGCTTTTAGGGGCATAGTCATGGACTTGCTTTTCTGTTCTTAATGCAGCACACAACCTTCCTTTCTGGACAGGCTCAACTTTTCTTTGGCATAAAGGTGTGAAGAGGGACCAGCACACAGGATGAAGATGACCGGGTCAATGGTTCTCTAGAGTGAAAATCCATCTGTGACCCCTCATGACTGCCCGCTTATCTCTCTAGACATGTCATTTGTTATTATTTTTTTGCTTTTTATTTTTTATTTTTTTGGTACCGGGGATCGAACTCGGGTCCTTCTGCTTGTGAGGCAGGCAGCGGAACCACTGAGCTAAATCCCTGGCCCCTTGTTATAATTTTTTTGTGGAAATAGTTTTTGTTTTGTTTTTTGTTTTTGGTACCAGGGATCGAACTCAGGACCTTGCACTTGCAAGGCAGGCGCCAGAACCACTGAGCTAAATCCCCAGCTGGAAATAGTTTTTAAAACATTTCAGATGAGGAATTATCATGAGGTGATGGTTCATTAGTTGAGCAGTAACCCCAATGAGAGGCACTGGGAGCTCACTGTCTCTTGAGACAGGGTCTCGCTCTGCAGTCCAGTCTGGCCTTGCACTCACTATGCAGCCCAGGTTGGCCTTGAACTTGTGGTGACCTGAGTGTTGGCATCACAGGCACAACCCCACCAGGTCCATCTTGGAAACTCGTTCTTGGGAGCAGCAGGGCAGAAGAGTTGAGAGGCAGGTGCCAAGGTAGCAGGCAGAAGAGCTACTTTCGAGTCAGCAGAATCCTCGAGGTGCCCAGTGAAGATTTCCGCCCCATTAGCCCAGGCACAGCAGCCTCCCTTGCGGTTGGTGGTGGCTGCTCATCCCGAGCTGGTACCAGGGTCGGGGATGGGTTCCTTCTTTCTGCTCTGGGTTTCTGCTGACACAGGTGCTGGATCCTTCCTTGGTCTTACAGGACCCCGAGTTTATTTTCTGGTTGTTGAGATCCCGTGATTCTTATTGTCCTGTTTCCAAGCTCACCATTCTCCTCTTGAACTCACCCATGGAATTAAAATTTTCTGCTTTTTTATCTCTTTGTTCTAAAATCTGTTTGTTCTTCTAGGTATCTTATTTTCCTCTGTGCCTTTCTGTTTTTTTCATTTCTTCCGGATATGTTCAGAATTGCCCGTGGAAACATTTAAATGACTGTGTTAAACACTGTGTGTTCCTGTCTCCATCATCTGCCCTATTCTGTACTTTGGCCACAGAGTGGGCTCTTTGGGGGGCATTTTCTTTCTGTGCCCTTTGACCTCTCCAGGCTATTGGCTTCTTCATCCCCCTCGCTCAGTCTGCCTTCTCTCCATGGAGTTTTCGTGTTGTGTTTTATGCAGAGGGGCCGGGCCGGGGAGCTATAGAAAGAGCAGGGAAAACCGTGCGTGCTTACCTTCCCATAGGCAGAAGTCTTCTGTTTTTTTAAAAATTAGTTGTTTATTATTAGTAGTATTACTATTACTATTATTATTATTATTATTGGTACCGGGGATTGAACTCGGGTCCTTGTGCTTTCGAGGCAGGTGTTTTTAAAAAAATATACACGAGCGTATACATTTAGACAATGGATGTAGCCATTTGCACAGTGTAGGAATACACGCCTAGAGCAGATATGAACGTAACGTCACGTAGCATGACGTAATGGAGCGTGACATAACGGAGCGTGACGTAACGTACCACAAGAGAGCGCTGCATGATAGACTGGGGCGCAGTATTTCTTAGAAGCTGTGCACGGGCCTCAGATCAGGGAACTGAACTGTAACCGCATCATATCCACCTGTGGAACTGCTGTAGTCAAAGGAAAAAGAAATTTGGCTACACGAGGTGTTTGTTTTTTAAAATTTTTATTTATTTTTGGTACTGGGGATCGAACTTGGGACCTTGCACTTGCGCGGCAGGCGGCGGC